CGAATGTTGCTCTGCGTTATTTTGGACCATTCTCGGCGAAGCGCTTGCTTGAGATGATCGACACTTTGGTATTTTTTTGTGCCAACCTTGCTTTCCAAAATACTCCAGACAAAATAGTTTAACGGATTGCAATCCGGAGGTTTTGGTGGCAATTGTACGCTGGAAATGAAGCGAGGAAGCTCATTTTGTAACCATTCTTGTATTACAAATGCACAGTGGTCGCTGCCATTGGCCAAAATTCAAAAAATTAAAATCAGATATTTATTGTTAAATGTGTACAAATGAACTCTTAAGGGGTTAAGCTTTTTAGAAAACATAATAATCTTGGCTTCATTCTAACGGGACATTTCGAAAATAGCATCAAAAAAGAGAAAATGTAGTTAGTTGTTTTTTTCAGTGGCATCAGAGAAAAAGTGGAGTAAAAATAGAACTGCATTACAAAATTAAATACATTTTAAAAATTACAAATCTTGGCATTATTACTGAAAAGCAAGGTATTAACTTATTTTTAGTGCAGTAATTTGTGTGTTTAGTATATGTGTATAATATAGAAGATGTGAGTGTTCTGAGTTGCTTATAAGATTAATTTTGAAAATAAAATTGGGTTTCAGTTAAAGTTTTAATTGTTTTCCCCCCTGAATTCTCCAATGTGAATTTTTCACGCCATTAGTAATGGTCCTAAGATTCTAAAAGTGCTGATTTAACTTTCAGATTTTGTCAGATGTGTACGTTATACCTAATATACTGAAGTGACTTCGCTGCAATTTTGTCAGTTCTATGGTGGTAGTGACATAGAATATGTTTTTGTTGTTAGGGATTGATAAGGATGTAATTGAGGGGTATTCAATAATGTTGCAAGCATTGTCCTCTGGGTATAATATTTATGTCGAAAAATTTAAGGTCTTTGCACTGGAAACTGCTAAAGAGTTAACAAATTTATATCCATGGCACTATCTTCCAAGTTTCGACTAAATCATGCCCGAAAAAATTCTCGTGTTTCAACAAACACAGATCTTATTAACCGTCTTCTTCTTTTATAATGGGACAGCGAACCTTACCAAGCAATAACCAGTAAAGAAAGTCTTAAAGTCGAGCGACTTCATGATACCCTACACCACTTTGCATATTTAGTAGAACGTCACATAACAAGTAAAGGTTTTAATGGGAAATTTGTGAGAATTAAATCATACCAACAATGATTATAGTAATAATTAAAAGTCCAAAGGAACTAATATATGGGAGGAATATCCTCCTCTGAATCGATTTCAATTGAAATTTGTGGAGGCATTTGCGCCTTTTCAATTCGGGCTTGTATTATCCTTTTGGTGCACAATTAACTTGAAATCGGATAGATATATATGAGAGCTATATCTAAATTTGATTTGGGCTAATATTACACGTTTGGTGCACAATAAAAGGCAAATCGGACGAAGATATATATTTGAGCCATGTCCAAATATTAACAGATCTCGATAATATTTAGAAAGGGTATTTCTGAGTTATATTTGATATATTTCCCCAAATATCGTTGTCACAGAGTGCATATTACGGCTGCGGAGGACAAAAATAACAAATCGGGTGAACAATATATACGGGAGCTATATATATATATATATATATATATATATATATATATATATATATATATATATATATATATATATACATATATATATATATATATATATATATATATATATATATATATATATATATATATATATATATATATATATATATATATATATATATATATATATATCTGAACCGATTTCGATCAAATTTGGCATACTTATTTTCAGGTCCCATCTGGTCGTACGTATATTCCATACTATTTGGGCTGATATTACAAGTTTGGTGCACAATATAAGGCAAATTGAATGAATATATATGGGAGCTATACCTAAATTTTGACCGGTTATATCCAATTTCAATAGGGCCTTAAGTCAAACTAATTATTTGTGCAAAATTTATCATTGATTTAATTTTACATTAAATTGTTATTTTATTTTGTTTACAAAAAATAATCAAATTTGGACTTGATTTGTATAAAAAATGCTTCTATTTTTGGAGGTACATTACAAGGGACTCTACCTGATGGCGGGCTGTTCCAAATAATTTTCAGTAAGATTATTTTTTAGCTCCTTAGAATGTAAAATGTCAAATAACATTACAATCTGGTGTAGAAATGGGACAAGAATTGGGCAAATAACCCTAATTCGGGAGGTACGTTATATGGGGACCATGCCAAAACATGCATTGACCATATCCATTTTGTCACATTTTTTATATTTATCCCATCAAGGTACCATAACCAAAGATTCATATTGATATCTGCACTGAAAGTATTTTTGGCCGCTGTTCCCATACGACATCGACCACTGTGAAATGGTGAGTGCGAAGGTGCCAAGTCCTCTTGGAATGTCAAAGGTCTGCGGCCAAATGTTTGCGTGCCCAAGGCTTTAATACACCCTTCAAAATATTTTCGCGATAATATTCGGCATTTATTCTGATGCCACGGTCGATTAATACGAGCGGAGAACGACCATCGGCTGTTATGGCGGCCCACACCATCACCATGGCTGGCGCTTGAGTTCTGATGGCCAAACGAAGGTGCACATTTTCATCTGACCTCTTTAGCAAGTAAACACGGTAATTTTATTTGTTTACAAACTACTGCACAAAGAATATTTTCGCATCGGAAAAACAAAAATTTGGCAGTTCACCACTTTCGGCCAAGCGAAGCAACTCTTTAGCTCTCTTGAGTCTATTTTCTTTCACGGTAACGAGCGTTGGTACGAGACATAAAAGATTTATTCACATTTAAATGCTGAAGTGCTTTAACGATAACCACTTGTGTTTTCCAGCCAAATATAAAGAAATCAAACTATCACCCTTGAATTCCATCACGAATAATTTTTTTTTTTTTTAAATGCGCCTAAAATGCTTTTGTACGCTTTTAAACAATATAATGAGCTGTCACTGGAATATTTTTAACAGCTGTCGGCCTTAGAAATGACAGCAGTTGGTTTCAGTTTTTTCATCTTACCTTGTACATCATCAGCAGATGCCCATTAATGTACATATTGTTACGAATATAACTTTAGATTTAAGTTAATTTAGATGAATTCCGTTAATTTAAGAATTTGAATTGTAACGTAAATTTCTACTACGCAGTTTATTTGAATAACTTCACAACAACAACTACTGTATAGATTTTTCTACATCCTTCCATTTCCTCTTTCATTTTCTATTTTGTTGCTGACGTACAATTCTTGTTAAACGTCATCATTGATGATCGCTTAATTCCTCTTTCTTTGTTACCCCCTCGCCTGTGTATGTGTTGTTGTTATTGTTCACTCAATTTAAGTTTGTATGTGTTGTTGTTATTGTTCACTCAATGTAAGTTTGTATGTGTTCGTTGCATTGGTAGATTGTTCGTAATCTAGGCGTTACCAGATCGTCTAGAAACTTCTGTAGCGACAGGCGAGGCTCATATAAATAGGGGGAATGGAAAGGCAGTTAGTCAGTTGTGAATCAGATCGCGAATTGAAACCGTCGAGTAAAGTAAAGTGCAAAGTAAAGTTGTGTGAATAAAATCATTGTAATAATCGTAATCCGAAAGAACCCGCGTTTTATTTGGTACGAGCTGTATTGGGAAATAAAACAACGTCTACACGGGATTAAGTAAAATCCAAGAACGTAACAATATATATTGGACCAGGGACATTTCCTGCCATTGTTCGTATATTTTACATGGAAAAATAAACTTATTTATAGCACCGGGGCACCTGGGCCCTTAAGAAATTTTGAAAACATGTAACTTTTAAAATGGTGTTGTAACTTGTTTTGTTTCCATTTTTGAAATTTTGTAAGAAAAATACAAGAGGAAGAGGGGCGATATGACCCATCCTCCAACTCGATTTTAGTTTGGAAAAAATATTTAGATGGGCCGAGATTGACCGAATTGAATACTACTTGCGAACCAAACAGACGGACATTGAAAATCGCCATACTGAAACGGATTTTGTCCCAAAAGACATAGCGTCTAAAGCAGTAATTTCAATCACGTACATATTTCTATACATTTTTAGTGAGATAATTATATTGTTCATTAACACGCCGAGTGTCACTTCTTGAAAACTTTGATTCGAGAAAAACGCATTTTAAGATATCCACAAAATTAAAAGAAAAAGATTATTGCAGAAAATCACTACACCGGCAATAATTCTCTAAGAGGTCAGCAGATAACAGTATCAAATTTCAGTATGGCGATAATGAATGAATGTAAATTGAATACGATGGAAAAGGTTGACAATTTATGTATACAAATTCAGAACGGTTTTAGGTCATTGAACTAATAACTTGGGCGCCAACTGGATACTTACTAGTACATTCAAATTCCAATTCGTTGATCAAAAATTGACAGTAAAAAGGACAGTGAATTTTTTCATTCTTTCGATTGTAAAGAAGGAACAGTCGAACTCGATCTCTCTACTCTTGCCCTTACTTATTGATTTACTTGTTTAAATATATAGACAAATTCCAGAATATCACTCATAAATTGTAATCATATCTCTCCATTATAAATTGTCTCACCTCTGATAGTTATTTGTCCATAAAAATGATCCTGGAACATGTTTAATATTTTACTGTTTGCTTAAACCCTCGTTACATGATGTTGTACTAAACCCTAAGAATGCTTTATTACGATATTAGAAACAGAACCGTCGTCTTATACAAATAAATCAATGGCAAGATCTTGTTGTTTTTGCTTCTTTTTTTATATATATAACAAATTTCTAAATGTGGCGGTGGGTTTTTGTTTTTGTTCTTGTGTTTGGTTGTGTGTTGTTTGTCCTGTTTTTAAAATATTCGCACACACACACACCCATATGGACACACCAATGGATGTACGTTGTTGTACACATATTACATTATCTATGTATGTTGAATTTTCAATTTAAATGTAATATGTTGTACGTTGTAGTATGACTTACCTTAGTTGGATAAATATGCTTGGAATCGCCAACTGACAGTTTGATATAATCCTCCGCATGCTTAACTCCCGTAGCATCCTTTAAACTTATGGCAATCATGTTGCTCGTTTCACGTGGCAGATTTATCTAAAATGTACACAACAAAAACAACAATAACAAATATAAATATGATTTACTATAATTTCAGACAGAGGAAAAGTGAGGGGGAGGAGTGAGCGGGATATAGAACAAGACAAACAAATAGGATAGAACAACAACGTATAGCTAGCTAGCTAACAAATAACTCCACAGTGAAATCCTCGGAAGATATTAAATGAAAAACTACAACAGAAACACATCGTACATGTGAAGAATCCTGGGGGAATAAATGTCCTGCTACCATCACTGACAGTGTTCTGGCAAAACGAACCATTTAATATGTTGTGGCTTTAAAAGGACAGACGACTTGTGGAAAATGAGTCGGATATGATATTCCCCCACTGCGTTGCTTCCCCACACATCTTTTGGAACTAAATGCTACCTTATGAGTGACCAACGCCACCTTACCCCCTCCACATAACTTGAGAAAAGAAAAAAGTAAAGAAAACCATAGCCAAGTGGGATTATGTTGCGACGTTACGCATTGCATTTTTATTTTGTAGCAGACCAAGGACTGGCCGTGGTGACACCATCGTCATTACCTACCCATCGGCCGACCGACCGACCGCATGCCACTGTTGTAGTCGTACACCTATTTCCGTAAAATGTGTACTGTCATCATCAGTGGCAAAAAGAAAAGTAAACAGGAGTTTTACGCAAAAAGCATTTGCCACCAACTATGTCCGTACGTAGAGACGTACATATATGCACGGGCTATTCATTCGGAACGGTTGTTATGCATCGTTGTTGTCAGAGTATCCCCCATTTGGTGGCAGATTTCCTGCTGCGCGATAGTGGCATGCCAAAACCAAGTCTATGTGGTTATTATGCCATAGAACGCAAATAAAAACTATCGTAGGAAAGACAACCATGACTGAGATTCTAAGACGCTTATTGTACAAGTTTTTTTCTCTCTCTCGCCCCCTTCTTCTAGCCATTGCTTTTTTCCCAATTCACCTAATGTTGGTTTGGGAAAAGTTGCCTGCACAAGTTTTACTAGTTTTAAGACCAGGTTTACGTGCGGTCAGTATAGTTGAAAACTTGTGGCCAAAATGCGGTCACTGTATCAAAGATTTTACGCAAACGTATTTGCGCAATGCAATATGTACGAGAACGAGTACAGTGATGACCCCGAGAAAATCCTCGAATAATAGCTGGATTTATGAATCTTGGGGGGATGGAGAAATAATATTCAATGGCTGCATTACATAGACCGGAATAAAAAGTTGATTATCATTTCAGAATTGCGTACTTAATTCTTTGAATAAAATTCATATTGGATTCGATCATCTACGGAACGGTTATTGTTTTTCATTATTAGAGGTCATAGACAAGAATTGAATATTTGACAAAGCTAAATTAAAAAAAAGGCCCATGAAGCCCTAAAAAAGGACCAATCTAAATGAAGTTAAAACTACAACAACGAATACTGGAGAATAGTTTCAACTTCAAAGTTTATTACTCGAAATATTCTTAAATCTGATATATAAATAGGGATGTAAAGGAGTGAAGCCGAATTAATTAAAATAGAATTTTTGGTTTTTGTACGTACCCAACATACCAAAAATACAATGCAGCTTAAGAACAATATTATAAAAATATAATTTGTCAACAATGCTTGAGAAACACTTATGTTCCACAAACATTTCTCAAATCTGTCCCTTGTTGACAAATTAGTTTTGATTTTTTGTGAAAATTGTCAGCAAGAAATTATTTTCTTTGGCAGAAAACAAAATCACGCGAATTTAGGACCCATTTCTGGACCGAACCCTTAAGGTATGCATGAATAATAAATCCGGGAATCTTTCACATAAATTATTCCAATCCCATTTCAGATTGGAAGCATCAAAAAGTTGAAGGAATTCAATAGATGTGTAGTCTTAGTGGAAGAGATGCAGAAGTTCAAATAAGGGAGAAGAAAGCGTCAGGGTATCAAGGCCACATGAGGCAGTGACTACTGGGATGTCCATCAAGAAAAAAATGTGAAAAATGATTAAAAATTAAAAAAATAATAATATTATATACTATTACAAAAATAATCTTATTATAATATTATTTTTGTAAGCTTATTCTACAATTTCAAGTATAAGCTTATAAATACGGGTTCCGTTTCGATTATTCTATACTTGTTACACAAACATTTTTCAATGTTTTCTCAAGATTTTCTCAAGCTTAAGGCTTATGTTCATAAGCTTATTGTAATATTATTCTTAAGCCATTTTGGTATGTTGGGTAAATTTTGGTTCAACTGACTCCAACATAAACAAATCGAAATGCCGAAGTAGACAATCAAAAATTATCAATGTTCATTCTCAAAAATTTAAACAAAGTAAAATATTGTGTTTGGAATGGATATTTCACACAAAATGTAAGGTACATTTCATCCGCTGTGCTATGTCGATCCCAACAGATGCGCTTCTTCGCTGTTCTAAACTCTAACCCCCATTAGGCGCCAATTGGTATATACTTATGACCTGATAGACTGCAATATCAGAAAAATCTCTTGTTGGTCCATTTCAAGTTCTAAAAGTTGTTATTCCGATCCTATACCTGACTCAACGCAAAACTTCGTGAGGTTTGCGTCATGATAGTGACCTGTGGCGATACTGGACAGGCGGACAGACATAGCTAAATCGACCCAACTCGGCGAAATAAGTAAATACATATGTAAAATCGTGGGTCTAGAACCAATATTTCGGGGTTTGTGGCATCACCTAACCTTTGGCGGATTAGGTTGAGATTCCCGCCAGCCCCATTTACACTTTTATTTAAAATGGAAAATCGAAAACCGGCGCCCGAGCATAATTCCCCAATGACCGAAAAAAGGTCATAATCCCCATAATAAAGAATATGACCGTTTGCTGTGGGGCCTACTCACAAAAATATTAAATGTAGTAACTTGGTACCCATTATTATGGGGGTTATATCCGCTACTTTCTGGGGTTTATGACCATTTTTTTCTTGGACATAATCCCTATTGCAAGAATGGGGGGATTATGTCCGGGCCCGACACGGCACCTTCAAAACCAACGGACGCAATAATTTCTAAAAAATAGAGAAAATATATACTTTCGGCAAAAGGATAATTTGCTCGAATTTTACTTCCACTCAAATAAGAGCTAGCATGCGTTGCACGTTTTGTCTTTTGCACCCAGATAATAGCTATGATCTCGCATGGATTGTTGTGTTTAAATTTTTAGCCATATTCTCAGGACCTAGTTCCCCTGATGATTTGAATCAACTCAAGCGTTATTGGATACTTTTTTTAGAATAACACAGATATGCAAACACTTTTCAATTCAATTTTATAAATTCTCCTGAAACAGCTCTGTGCCACCCACTGTACTATTTCCTCAGGTAAAAACGAGAATAAAAAAGCTTTGCATCAGGATTTCCCAAGAAGAAAAATGAACTACTATTTCTTTTCATTTTCTGTTTTACGTTGCGCCACCGGTATTGAACTTTAACACAGCCCTGACGACACATCTGTGACAATAAATTGGTATGCCGTTGAATGTGTGCTAGGAGGAGATTACAAGTTTAAATATGACATAACATAATCTTTCTTCTAAACTTTACCATCAGCACGCATCTACCGCAACAAGACTAATTAGAAATGTATCACAACTAAGCCAAAACCCCCTCTCACTTTTAATCTGGAGAAAGTTTTTTACACCATGATATTCTGTGTCGTTCTAGGCAACTAGCAGAACTTCGCATACGTAGATACATTATTCTTTGGTTTACTTACCGCAACAGTTAAGTTATTGCCAATTTGAACATCCACAATGTCCTTATGAGATAAATCATATTTCAAGCCGTTGACATCTTCGATATTGTGCGAGAATTCATTGCCTAAATTGTCATGCAACGAAACTTTCAGCACGAAATTCATGCCACGTGGAATTCTCTCTTCGGTATTCTTTAGTTTGATTGTGGGATACACCAGCGCGGCCATAATGTATTGGACATTCTTAACCTCAATGCCGATAGCTAAAGTTTGATCAAATGTTTTCGCCTTTTTATGGTCCAGGTGAAAGAGATAAAAAAGTTTGCCATAACAAAGGAAAAAAGAAAACAACAACAAAAAAGAGGTGAGTGTGAATGGTCAATAGATGAGTTTTGCTTTGTTGTTTTGGGTGTTTGCCCTTGGTACATGTACATACAATGACTAAATCTCGGCCCAGAGTCTCTTGTGTTCGGACAATGCCATCTGGTGTCACTTTCACTATTGCATTGCTATCGCTGGACAGTCTATAGAGGACATCGTCTAAGTTCGCTTTCAATTGAATGGAGCTACGTGGTGCTAGCAGAATTGTATCCGTCGTTATGTGTTTTGGGGATTCCAGTTCAAGTTGTTTGAAAACTAAATTGAAAAATAAAATAAATGACAAGAAAACAAAAACATGATAGTGGTAAGACTCAAAATTACTTTGTGTTTCACTTACCGACTACTTCGACAAAAGTAGAAATTTTCTGTCCACCCGGTAATTGAACTGTTGCCTGGATTTTTGCCTTGCCGGGATTTAAGGCTTTAACGCGAACAGAAATGAGATCTGTGTCCGAATATTCAATGCCTGTAGAAATTATTAACAATGAAATTAAATGTTAATAGAAAGTAAATACATAAAAAAGTACAAAATATATATAGAAAACAATATTGGGGACATGGTACGATGATATCAAGGTAGGGCTATGATACCATATGATTTTAATTTTTTTATTTTCTTGGCTTAATATGTCATCTTTATTTGTTTACGTATGTGTTTTCTTTTCAACAACAAAAAAATTGCTCAGAAAACATTCAATTTCGGGTGTTTTCAAAATGTTTATTTCGACGTATGCATCGACAAAATCTAGAGTTTTTGTAGCGAAATAATCCTTTAGAGATATATAGTACATGATTTTGAAAAGAAGTGTTGACCTTTCATTCAGTTATCGCGGTTTTCAATTATTTATTCAAAATAAATGCAACAATTTGTTTGATTTTTTATTGTTTTGATACTAATTTTGACATTACAAGCCAAACAGGTAGACCTCTATACATGCAATTTTTTCAAAGTTGACCTACCTTCTCTTCATTGTACCATGATTAGGGATATGAAAAGACATTTTTACAGTTAATTAATTTTTTGAATTCGATCGCCAGAAGAAATATCAATATTTACCAAACGCGAATGGAGACAATATTTTGAGTAGATTTAGTTGGAATACATAGAAATGTAATAAGTTGGCACTATCTTAAAACTATCCCCATTCTTAGTTGGAGAATAACGACTGGAAAACCTACGTCCCTACTTGCAAGCTTCTCGCTTTTACATTCAACAAGAAATCCGCAGATAAGTTTTCCTTTACTTAATAGAATTACTTATGTAAGATCGTTCGCGTTGCACGTATTTGGAATCCGCTGCCTTGCGAACCAAGGATATTTTCTCACTCAAATAATGTGTTTAGAAAGAAACTTCATGCTCATCTGATTTCACTTCTGTAACAGTTCGAAATAAAATTTTATCATTATTTTTTTCGTAGTTACATTTTTTTAACAAAAGTGTAACATTTAAAGGTTGTTGTTCATTTGGCCATGTGATTTTGAATTTATTTTTCTTATATATTTTTATATAAGAATATGGAATATAGGTGTTAATAATTTTTATATTTTGTAATGTAATATTAAATACTCAGGATTTATATGCTAAGTAATATGTTTACATGGTCTTTTAGGCCTAGTATTACTAAAATGAATTTGAATAAATAAATAAATACCTTTAATGTATTAATGATCAAAAAATATGGACATTGATGCAGACAGAATTTTCCACTAGGAAATTATATAACAATTCCATCTTCTAGTAAAATAATTAAGGCAGTATCTATCTTTTTTTTCAAACACCGAAATGACAAATTGTAGTGAAGTCTGCTAAAGGAAGCTACACCAAAGAATGGATCTGAGTTAACACAGTCAATCGGGCTACAAATACCGTGGTAATATATAGGCATTTTCCGAAAAGTGAATTCAAATCTATTCATTTCTTCCACATAAAATTGCTGTCAATTCGGTTAGACATTTAAACAACTTTGGAGCGGGTGACAGACCAACCAAGGACACTGGGAATAAGTACAATATTGCAATAGAAACATTTTTATAGACATGGATAACTTTAGATCTGCTTATTATGGTTGTTGTTTCTTTTAAAATCCAAGAATCCAAGTAAGAATTATATTCTTCATAAAATTGTTCGTTAAAGTAGAGACACATAAGTAGCATACCACTCTTGCTTAATTATATTTAATTTGTGGATCATAAACCAATCACAATACTGGAATGACACCTATCGACGTCCTGTCGAAACCAAATGTTGTCAATATCCTCCTTTTCAATTTTGTGAACAAACATTCGGTCAACATGGACCGATGACGTAACGGCTACTCATTTTTCATTTTCAAAGAAAATAATAACAGTTTAAAATAAACCTATTCGAGTATTGAATGCCGATAATGTTATTTTTAAGGTTGTCTTTTACTTACGTTAGAGTGTCCTTACGGTAAAGTTGGGCCTCGCAAACTTATTTTTGTTTACTTGCTCATTTGGTGATCATCCATCAATTGAGAAGTGCAAAGTTTGGACTAAATCGTGGATGTAATTTTTGAGTTTTGTGCCTTTATCGCGGATGTACTAAAAAGGTTGAACTGATATATACCATCTTAACACTATATATGATATGAGCAGGAAATAAGCTCTATTGGTTTCCAGGTCATTGCAGCCTTTCTGGTAATGAAGTAGCACGACGTTGATCCTAGTCAATCGATTTAGAATTCGGAAACTCGGTGTAGCCAAACAAGGTCGCCCATTTTCATGCTGTGGTCATCACTGGTCACTATAATATAAGGGTCATCTCTTCAAAGTGGGGTGTCGATGACACCGTTTACTGCAGGCTCTGTCAACATGAGGAAACTGAACGATCGAACATTTACTCTGCCACCGTCCAACTCTCTTCCGTGAGAGAAATAGTCTTGTGGAGGAGCAATTATGTAAGATATGTATGCATTCTCCGACACAGAACCAGTAGTTATTTTTCAGTTAGACAGAAAATTAAAGTGACTAGAAACAACAGATAATTTCTCATCATGGATTACAAAACTATTTTTTCCTTTCTTTTCTTTTTTCTTCAATTTAGCATAAATGCAATGACCAGCAGATCCCCGAGTAGATCAGTTGTCTTAAGATAACTGCGCGCATTTAAACCTAACCTACGCTACGAAATATATCTATATATATTTTGTGGGAAAAATATTTGAAAATTGAAAAAGCGGTCTCTAATTCCCTTAATGGGAGAGGTATGAGAAGGAGTTGACCGACTTAAGCGTGAATCAATTGTAAAAGGGTCCTAAGTTATGACAAAATCCAAAGTGATTTATTTAATTTGTTTTTCAACATATTGGTCATATAGATATAGATCGCAATTTGATCGCATTGAAACGAAGAAGCCCTTGAAGAAGCCATTTTATTTTGGTGATGATCGGGTAATGTTCAGGGACCGAAATAGATCGAATAAAACGGTTGTGGGGAAGATAGGCAAATTTCCAACATTTTGTACATATAAGGCGAATATACAATGTGAATGTCTTTAATGTTAAAAGTCACTTGCTGCGAAATTACATATGCGTGAATGAACTGAATATATTCTGATTTTACATTGACGTCAATTCCACTGACGTATAGAGTCAAAATATGTTATAGTGTTATATAGTATATGTTTTCTACTACTGTTTTGAATTCGATTGTACTGAAACATTTTTGCACGACATTCGTCACTCTGTTTTATTCTAAATTTCTTCTACTACGTTACCGCAAAGCCTTCGATTAAAATTACGCTGCAACAGCACGATTTATTTTTCAAAAACATTATTTTTGATTCTCCTATATCGCTTGGAATAAGGCTAATAATATTTCACGTTCTAAAGAGAATATTCCTCAAGGATAATGGTATGTTTGAGCAATAGCTTTTACTACTAGTTTATAATAGTTTGTATATTCCGTATCTGTTCCTGAAATGAAACTCAACCATTCAGGCTCATCAAAGAATAATTTGTTATGTGAACCTTTTGTGAGCATTATAGGATAATTTGCCTTCATAATGCTGTATCGTGATTCAGTATGTATATTTTTATATTCAACTCACCAGCATCAGCAAAAATGTTGTAAATGTTAATCACGTCGGGTTGATTAGTTGACCATGTTATATGCATATTTGACAATGTACCCAATACCATGGGCGATAAATCGGGAGAACCTTAAAAAAAGAGTGTGAAAATAATTAAAACAGTTTTATCGTCAATTGTTTGATTTAAAAAATTTACCCCATATATAAGCTGGCATAACTGCACCACTACGAATACGAACCAGTGGTGTTTTAATTTGTATATTGACCAAAGGTACTACATGTACATCCACAGTATCTTCGGAAACTACAACCTCTTTGCCATTGATAGGATTTGTCATTACACATTTTCCAGTAATTTTAGTATCGCCCAATTTAAATGCAGTTACTATGGCTGATTCCATGCCTTAATAAAATATATACAAATATTAGCTATATAATATAATCTATGCTAGAGATTTATACTTACTTATAACCTTTTGATCGTGCACATGGTAGACTATGTTTACATCTGGATGTGGTCCACCGTGGTAGTAAATTTGAACACTTGAACCTACAACCAGTGTAGTGTTGCGTGGATACAAACGTAAAGGAGGGAATACCTTATAATGTGTAAACGTATTGATGTTAACTAAGGGCCTTGTTGTACTTAAGGGAAAGGAAACTTACTTGAACATTTACTGGCTCACTGGATACCAATATCTCCCCGCTGCCGGAACTGAAAACTATTTTAGTTTCACCTAAATTATTACCTGTTATAATATATCTGAAATTCATATGTGTGAATGTGTGGTTAATATATCTTTATGTACAATACAAAAATATTAGCCTATATAAAACAAAAGCAATACAAAATTAAGTTTATCACACTAGCTCACCTAATTTCTCCAATTCCCAAATCGACTTGTTCTCCCAATTGAAGACTTAATATATTCGAATTAAAGACTTCTTCCGTCAATTCATAAATTTGTAAATTAAATGGATCAATATTTAACAGGTTATCATGTGAGTCATACAATTTAACAATTGCTTCTATAGACTTTGTGCGCTCCACTCGATCCGGAACCTCCACACGAATACTTCCAAGGCTTACCACCGAGATGGATAAATGAGCAGGTTCATTCATTAAGCAGCGATCAATCAATTCAAGACGAGTCTAAATAAATGATCAAACAATCATTTTTGGCATACAAATGCACACAAATTGCAACTTACATGGCCAATTCGTAGAGGGGAAACAATCAATTCTTTTTCCTTGTTATCGAATTCCACTTTGACTATTCCTGATTCCGATAGTTGAAAATCATAGAAACCACTACCTTGAGACATTGGTATGCGTTCACGACGACCCTTGGCCAAGAAAATGCTGATGTGATCCGAAGGGAAGAATGTACTATTGACCGTCATAAAACGAATTTCATTTTCAATAAGGGGGGTTACAATTTCTCCAGTTTTGGGCTGTAAATAAGGAATTAATTTTCATTAAAAAAAGCTTCAATGAACTTTGTAAAAATAACTTACATTTTTGATACCGAATGGAGGCTCTTCTGGATATATGTTTTGTTTTCGCAATACCAGTTCATCATATTTTGTTACAACACCTTTGATACGGAAATTTTGTGCCACTTCATTCAGCTGGGTTACCAAAATATCCTTGCCGGGAAGACGAATACCTTCCAAGTATTCTTCTTCGGCTTGCCGATGGTGTATAATGGCACCACTATGGTAACGTTGCTCCCCAGCTGCAAACTCCCAATCAATAAATAATGAAGTTATATTCATCAGCTTACGATTTTTAGCATCTTGAACCTCAATTTCGATTTCAAATTTGTCATCTTGATCCTTAAGCTGTAGCAAAGCATTTCTCATTTCTAATGGACACGATGATCGCAGTTGTTCCCGTGTGTATAAATTAAGAAATCTTGGTTTCACACAATAAATGTTGGTGGTTATTTTGGAGTGATATGGCTGGAAATTCGGTGTAAGCAATGCATTGAAAACATTGAATTCCAAAGATGTCTCGCCAACTTCTCTACACAACACAGTAAAGGCATACATATTGTTCTGTGTGTCAAATTCAATTTCAGAGACCCTAGCAATGTTGTGGTTGTAATCGACACCTTTGGTCAACTCAGCTTCCAGTGTGTATATTTTCTGGGGACCATTTGTGTAAATGACATTTCGCGATGAGCCAATGGGGAGAACAACGTGGTTCTCTGACGGATTAAGGACAGTTAATGGATCAAAGACACTCAGGGTTACTTCGTCTTTTAAAAGTTTTTCCCGAAATTTGTACGATAATTTAAGGTGGGTAAGTCCAATTGCTGTGCTGCGCAAATACACAATCTGACAAGCCTCAGGAGCCAATTCTGAAGCTGTCGCTGAGGCTGCGTTGTAATCAACTTGGAATATTTGATTGGAAAACTCATAATCAAAGACAAGATTTTCACATTTTGTCAGCGGCATAAGTGTGTTATTGACATATGCATAAATTGCTACATGCAATTGAACGTAATCCTTTAGAGCTGTTTCAAAGTTATATTTTACAATTTGTAATTTGACTGGTGGCACAAAGTACACATCCGCTTGTCGTGAAATTTTCTGATTTTTTGCCAAGGCCACTTTAATGTGGGCGTGTGCAGTCAACAAGGTTCCAGTAGCCCCATCGTAGGTATCAAGACCACCCTTGACATTTGAATCCCTTATTACGGTAGTGGCTAGACCATTTTGTGTTATATGCAAGAAACGTGGCTGATGGGACATCCAAACGTAAGAACCGTCACCACCCTTGGCTTGGAATTGAATTCTTTGGGTCTTGACAATATTGGGATCAAAGGGCAAAATCACTTTGGCAGGTGATAATGTTAATTCACCGTAAATTTGTAATTCAGCTTGGGCGGTCAACTGTAAACAATAGGCAGAGTACAATTTAGTCGCATGTAACAAATAAATCTTTAAGATACACTTACATCTTTGAAAGTTCCGTATACTGGTGTAATACCCTCCCTTATGGCTTCGCCATATAGACGGGATCCATTCTTGCTACGCTTTTGTATAAAAAACAGAGACTCGTCCAATTCAGAATTTACTGAGTAACGGGACCCTAAAGTAATTTTATGGTCATCGCTTAAAAATGAGAGAGTAAAAAAATAATAATAAGTTAGGTACTTGCTAAAATCTATGTTTAAAAAAGTAGACGTGGACGTGAATATTACTTATGTACTAAATTGTGCGAATTCGTATTCAATTTTTCAAGCCAACTCGTATCTTTTGATATTGTTTTAAGTTTACATGTCAAAATATTCTTTAATTTATTCTCTAGGTACGTCATCTAATATTATTGCAACGATTGGTGTTACTTACTGTGTGAATAAATCCACTGCAATTTCGTGTTTTTCTCCTTCAACGGTTATCCAATTGTTATGTGGCAATAAGCTCAAACCTAATTTTTTGGGATGGGCAACTGTTAAACGTGCGCTTGGCACAGCGTTTTTCATGGCCTCGCTGTCGCCCGTAATGCTACCATCGTTGGGAACATTGCGATCACGCAACACAACCATAGTGGTGCCAGCTTTAAGTCCCGTGGCTGAAACGCCCTTCATGCTGGCGATGTTAACGTCTTCGATTTCTAAGAAATACTGATTGTTTAGAGAAATCTCTTGCAATTTGCCAGTTTTTAATTGCAAGATGCGGAAATTGATAGTGTCGCCTGGTAAAACATAGACATCTGATGGCTCCAAAATAATATTGGCCAAAACATTGATGTATACTACAATAGGTCGAACATAGCCATACTCTGTATACGGAAGATTAACAGTAACCTAGGGAAACAATACAGACGAGTTAATAAAAAAATTGACATTTTAAAGTCTCTTTCGCTTATTACCTTTGCTGTTCCGGTATTAATGCCTTCTAATAGCACCATGTATCCCTTAAGACCCTGTGCTTCAAATTTCTCCAATGCTTTAGGAACTTCATGGTAGGGACTTTCAGTGAATGTTAAAAATCTTAAAGCCGACGACCAATCCTTACTGTCCTTATTCAGCGAGGATATTACCCAGTTAAATTCAACACCTTCCAGAGTAGTAAATACATTGCCTTGTGTATCTTCCGCATGTAGAACAAAAGTTTCCGGTGCTTCCTCTAAATATAATTGACGCGTTGTTGTCTCAACACCAAGACGATCGATAACATCCAAAATAACGTCGCACCGCAGCGAATCACCAGTGGCTACATTTTCAGCCAGAACGATTGCGGTGTTTCGCCTACGTTCCCGTGTTAAAACAGTTACTGTTGCTTCATAGGAACACTCATTGTCATCAGCATCTTCATACAGCGGTGTAATTAGAATTAAATCCTGCCGAGAGGAAGTCCTAAAAAGGAGACATAAGATTGAATTTTAAGGTTAAGTTGACAGTAAAGGCGCCAATTGCTTCTCCATATGTTAATGGTGGTGGTTTGTCTCATCTAGTCGCTATAAACAAAACGCTTCTATTCGCAACAACAAAACAACATCGACCTCATGTCTGTCGCAAAGGTTAGCGAAATGAGCCAAAGCCAAGGCCGATACTCACCATTTATAGCATCCTTTTTCACTAACTTGCAAAGTGAAGTTTATAGAGATTTTATCAAAGATGGGCAACAGAACTCGAGGAAAGTTCAATTTTGTTGCCTCAGTAGATTGTTGTCCACATAAATATAAGAAAAATAACAACTTAAATATTGCTAATTTGTCCATGGTACGCGCGTTTGTTGCTTCCTCCTCATGCAGACATAAACTTTGACGTTTTGCACGTTCGCTGCAAATGACAGCTCTAAAGACCGGCAGAGTTGTTTAAATGGTACTAAAAGTGTTTACCCAACACACATTGCAATGCATGAAAGCAAATAACAAAAACTTAAACAACCACCAGATGTAAATTTAATGATAGAAAATAATGTAAACAATTAAATTCAAATCAAGACAAGTACTACTGTTTTGTGAACGGCAAATATCTAAAACGGCATTATATCTAAAAATAAATAAAACCATGGTAGAATAATACAGGTAACAGGAAGCGTTGTTGTACAACAATCGTAACAACAACCACATACAAATTTGTTTTTGTACGTAATACAAGTGTTAAACTAAAATGTCCAAAAATGTAAACAAAATAATTAATTTTCAATAAAGTAATTTAATTAAAAAAAATACACTTTTTGGAGTTTAGATTATAAGATTTAAAATGCAGAAGAATAGTTCCTCAATTATTTAGTTTGAAAGATTTCATATCATTCATTAATATCTAAGTTGTTAGCTATATGCCCTAATCTTCCAGCTCTTCTACTAATCGCAGGAAAATCGTGGGAAAAGCTACATCCCTTTCAAAATGAAAGCAAACTGCATACACACATAATATATCCACATTTGCAATTTTAGGAAACATAAAAAATATACGACTATGTTTCTTAATGGAGTGTCACTCCTTTTTAATAGCGAAAAACATTTTCGCACTATCGCAGTTGGAGTTTTATTAAGAACAACGGCGATTTTTTGTAAGTTTAAGTTAGAGTAAGTTTGTAAGTTAGAGCTACCAGCTGATTACAATTTTTTTCTAAGTGTGCCCGTCTTCTGCCAATTTTGTGTATGTATTTATTTTCAAAATCAATGATTGGAAAACGCGTACATTACGGGACCCACATTGAAGCTATTCGTCAGTTTTGCTATGTAATTGAAAAATCGAACTATTTAGATCATATTTTTAAAAGAAAATACAGGCATTTAATTCATCTTTCGGGCTATTTAACTCATTTTACAAATGAGGAAAATATGAAAAAAAAATGAAAACAACTTGTATATAATTTTGAATGAGTCTGACAGGAAGCGGACATAGCCTCTGGGCTTTATTTCTGTAGTATTACGAAGCTGTTCTACCTCCTTATTGTACCATGGGTACAATGAAGATAAGATAGGCTAACTTTGAAAAAATTGCAAGTATAGAGGTCTACCTGTTTGTTTTGTTATGTCAGAATTACTATTAAAACAATAAAAAAAACCAAACAACTTGCTGCAATGATTTTGAATAAATAATTGGAAACCGCGTAAATATACAATGATTGTTTGTCTTTACCTTGTTAATTCTACCATGAAAATAAACAGCAATAAAGATGTTAACCAGATTTTCCATGGAATTTAAATATTGAACAGATTGGATCATATTTTTGACAGAAAGCCTAAGCATATCATTCATTTTTTGCGTCCTTTGCTAATTTCAAAATTGCAAAATTATTAAATAAATGAGAACTTGTTGTATTTAATTTTAAAAAATTTTGACAGACATTTGGTTTAGTAGTTTTACGAAGGAGGTAATCTCCATTGTACTATGAATTTTATCTTCTTGCCGGTTCTAAAGCCAGTTTTTGTCGGTAACGAGTCAGCGAGAATCTACTAGTTTTGTTAATTTGTCCGATATCATAAAGTACAAATCGGTTATCATAGAAAAAACGTTTACATTCTTGCAGTTCTGCATGGTCGAATTAAGAATATAAAGTCATGCTATCATATGTTTACATTTTTTTCAAAATTTTTTATTTGACAATGTCTCATTGTCAAATTTATATTTATAAATCCATACAGATTTATAAATATTCAAAATTATAGGCAACCAGTTGTTTTCATATTTTTGATATGTTTTGTTCATTTCTAAAATTAGTCAAATAGCGCGAAAGATTAATAAATGCCTAGATGTTCTCTTAAGAATATGATCCTAAGTTTTCAATCTTTCAATTCTAATGAAAATCTGGTTAATATTATTAATGAGCGCCCCACAATTTAAGTTTCTTCCAATGATTGATTTTGAAAATATTTTGTTATAAATGTTAAAACAACGAATACATACACAAAATTGACAGAAGTCGGGCACACTTAGAAAAAAATTGTAATCAGCTGGGAGCTCTACCTTACCTTTTATCGTACCATGGATATGCTTATTTGAAAGGACTTCACCTCCTTGTATAACCATGCAGTTCTGGAACAGAGCAAATATGTTTGAAATTTTCTTTTATAACAACTTTTTCATTTTACATGATCGTGATTATGAAAAAACTTGTAGACAATCCAAAATGACATTAGCCCCATAAGTCATGTAAGGCTTGATTATGAAATGGTTGAATTTTGTTCCAAAGTATCATTTTGCGGTAGCTAGGAGAAGTATGAATATATCGGCTAGTTTTTCTATAATACTTGTAGAAGATTGTCATCCTTAATTTAATTGCAGGAAATTGTCAGTGTAAGATGTCGTTTTAAACCGAATCCATATAACAGGTATTGTGAAGATATTGTCAACATGCTTTAGCCGGTTATTCTGGGGTTTGTGCTCCTGAAAGACTGGCCTAAACTAAACGTCAAACGAGGACTACACAAGAACTAACAGCACCCAGAATGTTTTTTTAAGAGGAATGTTTCAAAATCTTTAGTTTTATATATATATTTTTTTTTGATACTAATTCTGACATTACAAGCCAAACAGGTAGAACTCTATACTTGCAATTTTTTCAAAGTTGGCCTACCTTCTCTTCGATGTACCATGGGTTATACCACAAGATGGTATCTAAAATAGTAATGCCATGTTTACGTTAGAACTTTTTGTAGGGTTAACCCATGGTACAATGAATTCAAGGTAGGGCAGAACAACCATATGATTTCAATTTTTTCAGTTTTCTGGCTTAATATGTCAACTTCATTTGTTTATGTGTGTGTATTTTTTCAATAATAAAAATTTGTTCAGGAAATATTCAAATTTGGGTGTTTTCAAAATGCTTATTGCAACGTATACCTCGACAAAATCTACAGTTTTTGTTGCGAAATAAACCATAAGAGATATATAGAACATAATTTTGAAAAGAAATTTTGACCTTTCATTCATTTTTCGCGGTTTGAAATTATTTATTCAAAATAAATGCAACAAGTTGTTTGATTTTTTATTGTTTTGATAGCAATTCTGACATTACAAGCCAAACAGGTAGACCTCTATACTTGCAATTTTTTCAAAGTTGACCTAACTTCTCTTCATTGTACCATGGGTTAACCTACTTTGAGAGGATTTATTTGAAGTAAAAGTAATGGATATGACAATTTAAATCCAAATCCAGAAGGTTAACCCTCATATATATAAACGTACTGTAAGATAATACAGTTTGATCACAAAATTGTATAATTTATTATCTATTTACGTCGAAAATTTGCATTTATTTATCAGAACTTTTGAAAAGTGAAAAACGTAAAGAGGGGTTAAAATTAGCACACATTTCTGAAAGAGTCAAAATTAAAAAATGTGCACATAAAAGTTGTGTTCCAGTACTTTTTTAGTAGTAAAACTAGCAGAAGAGAGAACAGTTTGAAATGTCATTCTCATTTAGGTTTGCTCAAAAAATTAGGGAACGGAAAATTAGCAGAAATGCGATAAAAAGTCAAAATTCAAAATTCCAAAAGTAAACAGCCTAAATCGGACTGGCGAAACCTTACTGAAAAGAGCGCCAACATTTAAAAAATGAGTATTGAAGACGATAAGTTAAAATTAATAATTTATAATAATAATTAATAATCTGATTCCTCATTCAGCCAGTCCTCCTCACTGCTGGAATCATCCAAAAGTGAATAAATCAGTTGCTCCATATTTTCTCTTTTTGTTTTTTGCACTACAAATATTAGTTTTTCTTTTAGTTTTTAAGTTGCTCTTTTCGTTATTTTTGTTATGACGCGGGAACATTGAAATGTATCAATACATTTTTCAACCTTGTCAGCCCTGCCAATTAAATGTCAAATTCACAATTTGCACATTTCTGCTCGGCCAAATTCATGTAGCTAAAACAAGCAGAAATGTGCACCACTCAGCGCCATTTTTTTCTCGAGGGAGCTGCAAGTTTTGCTAGTTTTTGGAGTACGGGAACGCGTTGTAGCAGAATTAGTGCTAATTAGTACTAATTTGCAGGTTCTGGAACACAACTAAAGTCACATGTCGTCAAAAATATCGCAAATCGCGACTTTAGTCTGAAAACGGTAACCCTGATAAAAACTATCCATCGATACTCCGGTCCGTAAAATGTATCGATATTGCCATCGATTATTTACCAGCTCTATGGCAGGGATTGTTATTTGGAAATATAATGTCAAATAGTGAATCTGAAAATACTGATAATGGCGAGAAATCATCGAAACTCAAAAAGTTTCGTTCCAAAAATATGGACGACCTTAAAACAATGCAAAGGGAGGAGTTGTGTGCATACATTGAAAGTCTTCATGGTGTCCTAAAACAGCAGGAAAAGAAACTCAAGAAATACAAGGAGAAACTACGTAAACTGGTATGTTTACAAATCCTCTTGGATTGGAAAGAAATTATTAATGAAAAACTTATATTTAAGGAAGCTAAAATCAATATTCCAAAAGAGGATAAAGAAGACAAGCAATCTCCCGATAACCCACAAGCGACTGCCAATTCAAACGAAAAGAAAGAGACGAATGAGACGGATGATTGTAAGTAAATACTTTATTTCCTCCTCTTGTTACTATAAATCTAAATTATAAATTCGCATAAGAACACTTAGTTTCCCCGACTTGCCACAGCAGCTACAAGTGCAGCACCTCTGCCAGAACCGTCCTCCGAAAGCATTAAGTCAAATTCTACGTTATCCTTTACCAATTTCTTCATTGTAGCTCGCATATAGGCGTCGAACTTAGGATGAAAACGATAAACGGATCCATCAACACCAACAACTACTTTAGGCTCCTCGATTTTATTAATCAGTCCACTTAATCCAACCCCGACTAAACTTGCAGCTCTCTGGGAAACGCACTCACAAATGTAGCGTAACTTTTGACAGTCTTCAACTGATGCTTTTTCGATGCCAAATAGTTGTTTTATAATTTCTCGTGTTTTTTTAAACTCGGGAAATACATCGGCCTCAATTTCCGAGATCATGCTAGTCTCAAAGCATTCACATTCTCCAGACAACTTTGTTATAAAAGCAGATTTGTTCTGAGATAGTACAAAAATTAGATTTCTTTTGAGTGCTTCCAATAAAATTAATCGTACAAGTTCTCCCAAGTACATGCCTGAAATGAAAAAAGGAAATTTCTAAATGAATGTGGGATATAAGGGCTGAAAGTTCTTTCAAAAGTAGATACTTTTACTCAGATTACGAGAAAATAGTTTTTGTGAAAAAGGAAACGGCATTTGACCTCAAAACTAATTATATCCGGTTGAATTGATTATACTGTACAATCAATTCAACCGGATATAATGAGTTTTGAGGTCAAATGCCGTTTTGCCGAGTATTATCAGAAAGCTTTTGAAAATGCATATCCAACAAGTCGGCTTGTAATGGGGTTGTGTCTACCAGTTCAAAAGTAATACAAGAATCCCCTTAATTCGGACGGTTTATTGAATTCCCTGCATTCTTGCCGCTCCAAAATAGTGCTATTTGGGTCAATTTCGGTTTGGACCTACTCCAGAGGGGAAGAACGCAAAATACTTAGAAAATGATCAAATTAAAAAAAAAATTGGAAACTAAAAAAAAAGACATTGACACATAACATGACACTATTTTGGAAAAACTAAAATATAAACTAAACTAGCTTGTATTTCCCCACGCCACGCCCAAAAAATGCTTTCCTGTCGAACTGGTAAAAATTACATGTCTGATGGCACAAACCAGTCTTTGGAACCAAAACTAAATTAAACCTTCGTACTGTGTTTGTGCAAGGACCAAAAATGATAGACAATAGCCCATGTTTTTGGTCTAAAGACAAACTACAAAGAAAGTGCGCACTAGCATATTGAAATTCTGCAGTAGTAACTGTTAAATTGCCAAATCGTTATCGATTGTGCCTATTTCAAGACAAGAAATACATTTGTGTGCACTATCACTCGTTTTTATATTTGAAAGAAAAAAACCTGGTCATTGTTCCACTAAAATTGATTAGGTTCACATATTTGAAAGATAGTAACATACCAAAATATTTACATATATATAGTTAATACGTTCATTATCAAATTCATAAAAATATTCCTCTTTGCGATTAGAGCATAAAAGTGTATATATTATTATCAAAGACGTTGTGTTTATTTGACTAATTACCCCCTACAGACCAATATCAGAAGAAACTCAAAAATTTTGAATGCAATGATAACGGACATCAATGACAAATTGAATGTTTTTCATAAATTCATATCAGTTTGTATCCATTGCCAAGGCAGCGATATTAAAGCGGATAAAATATATATTATTAAGTACAAACTTTCACGCTAAAGTTCATTGATCTCGGTTCAAAATTTGAGTTGGAATTTAAATAGAAAATCTCTTGAACTTTTGACGTACGTAAATAAAACCGAAGCGTATAACAGTTTACCTATAAAACTGCACAGAAAGGGAAACGATAATGCGATTTTGCTCCAACTTTGCAAATCCTAATATTTGCGTCAGTGAAAGGTCAGGTGCGAAAATGGACAATGTCGGTCCACTCCATTTAGTACCTCCCCCATAAAGGGTCAAAATTTTGAATAATTACAACGCTTATAAAATGTGATGTAAGGGTCCGATTGTCTTCAAATTAAACACGCCAATCCTCCTAGTACCTACCGCACAAAGGATCAACATTTTGAAGCTCATAAACATGAAATTAACATCCGATTCCATTCAAACTTAATACATCTCAATATTTACATCAACACAAGATCTATTATAAAGATGGTAGAGATCGGACCATTTCTTTGGCTACCTGCCCCACATAGGGTTCAAGGTTTTCAAAAACAAAACACTCAAAGAAAACGAAATAAGCTCTTCCAATTTCACACATGCAAACATTTTTTCTAACGCAAGATCTGTTGTAAAGATTGCAATATATGAGAACCCCTTGTGGTATCTCACCCACAAAGGGTCACAATTTTCAATAATTTTATTTGTCATAACTTGCGAAACAAGTCGACGATTTTTTACAACTTGCTACATCTAAATATTTCGCTCAACCAGGAACATGAGAATAATATGGAATTTATGGTTTCGCATAAAGTTGGATATAAATGTCCGATTTTCTTGTGATTTTTTATCATAGACAGTAGCACCAACAGAGAACTACAAGTACGAAATATGGAACAATTTTGGTGAATAATGTCGTTAAAGTCATCAAAATACCGCTCATTTTCAATACCAAAATTCCTGTAGACCAAACACACATCTGAGTAAAATGTTATCAACCTACTTCAATTGGCTCGGAAGCTAGAGTGATTTCCACAGATGGACAGACAGACGGACGGACATCGCTAAATCGACATAGAATTTTATGCCGATCAAGATTATATATACTTTGTAGAGTCTAAAATGTAAATTTTGTGTGTTACAAACGGAATGACATTAATATATTAATATTCCCTCCATACTATAGTGGAGGGTACTATGGTGTGGGTACTATAGTGGAGGGTACTATGGCTAAGGGTATACATCTGTCGGCAAGACCGACTGATATTATTTTAATTGTTTATGTAGAAATTTAACTAAAAAAATCGTTACATTCATACAAATTCAAGCGAAAGGTTACCACATTTTTTATATCGGTAAGCCTTAGTTACTATTTTTCTTCGTTAACTTGCCGCCAAATTAAATTGGTGAAGTTATAACTTTAATTGGGCTAACCAGACAGGATTGTCCTTAAAAAAATTCAAAGGAACACTGCTTGGAGTCGTTAATGTGATGGGTTTTTAATGAACAATTACTATCTAAAATAAACATGTGCTAATAGCCTATTTGAAACATTTCTAAGTATCGATTTGACAAATAAAATACCTTAAGAAGTTCAACTTTGAACACATAGTTGTTCCTTTGCGAAACAGCGTTTAGAGTAAGAGGTATTTGGAGGTATTATTTAGGTTAACACTGAAATAAATAAAACCCTCGTTTGAGATCTGAAGGTTTAAGAAATTTACGGGACTGTGCAAATCAAAAATTCATTAACGAAATATCTGAAGTTTTTCTTTTTATCGTCGTCGATAGAGTGTTCTAAGTGGCAAAACTATAGTTAGAACTTCTCTCATTTTTTATAAAAAAGTTTTGAACTCCAAACAGGGGAAAGTTTAAAATCAATCACAATCTGTGGAGTGACCACAGCGTTTATACCAATTTTTAAATTTCATACCTAAAAGAATGGGCTTTTCGAGACCCCGGCTTCTAGGCATTCCGTGATATTATTTCGACCAGAAATAAGATAAATTATTTCGACTTAAATCGTTCCAATACAATTTCATGTTTAACGAAAAATAATCATACCAAACTCACACAGCAGCGTAGGCTATAATTATCCAACAGAACGATTGATAACCAAAAAAAAAAAAAAAGAAAACGTTGATACTAACCCGATATCATTTTTTCAAATATCTGTGTTCCCGCATTCAGTGACTTTTTGTCAATTTCTTTATCATAATCTGTGCGTATAAAGTCCAACAAGCCGCCGTCACCAAATGCTCCCCATTCCGTGTTGATTAGAACATATCTGTTGTTCACCTTGTATTCGGGTTCGAGAAGTTCAACTTGATCTACTTTCTCGACATAGCAAGCATTACATCCTGTTCCAATAATTACACCTATATGACATTCAGGATTCCGATGTGCGCAGGACATTAGGGTGCCAGTTGTATCATTTAAAATTGCCATGACATGTATTTCCAAATCACCACGTCGTGCAATTGCCTCCTTCAGAAGTCGCCCGACATCTTCTTGTTCAACGCCCGAACACTGAAAGCCTTTGGTCCACCGCACCAAAAGCGCCTTGGTTAGACCAAGTTGAACGCAGGGAAATGAAAAGGTGAAACCCAAGGGCAAATGTTCACTGGCAACTTTATGACCCTCCACAAACGTTGCCAAACATTGAGCAATATGATCGAACAATTCTTCGCCAGGACCTAACATAATATCCTTGGGCACAGCATATATCTCGGACTCCACAACAGCTTCATGGTGACCTTTCAAGGTGACCAAAAGAACGCGGAAATTTGTACCACCCAAATCCAATGCCAGATATTTGCCCACTTCATTTCCTGTGGGTAGGTCCTGCACATACGTCACATAACACTTTGTATCGGCCTGTTCGTGTTCACTGGCAGATAAGCCCTTGCGTATCTCATTACAAAACCGTTTGTAAGCTTCCTGTAATTGTGAATCGCTCAGGACGAGTGGTTTCAGAAATTCCTTTAGGCGTTCGTCGTGCATTGTAACGGTAGAAGTAGTGTTAATATTGTTGATTTCTTTCGTTCTTTTACTATTTCACTTGCTAGAGAGGAGGCCACTGACACAACCCTTTTGTTTCAATATCAAATTGCAACTAATTGAACTCGGCGTTATATTTTTCTAATACTTTTGGTTATTGTTTTTTGTTGACGCCTTTTCACTGAATTGATTACCAGTCCCTGTTAGTGCTGGTGAATCTACCTTTTGACTGTGTGTTTTTATTTTTGCGAATATATTTCAATTATGAAGTCGCATACA